CTGGACAGCTCAAACTTGTAAATGATGTAGCTCAATCAATTCTCCACCGATTTACAAGAAAAAAAATGCACCAGAATTGTATAGATAGTCTCTATTCAAAGACATAAAAATCTACAATGTGTCTGATTTTGGTGGCTATGCAACATCTATTAACCCAATGTTGCCTACTCGAGCTATCAGCTTCACAATGGATAGGATTTTGGCTTAGATTTGCAGAGACCAAATAACCAATTAGTATGTGGCTTCAATCCTACGGGTCCATAATTTTAATTACTACCCCATAACTATGTTAAAGTGCTCATTCTTAGGGGTGATCTCGACATAGGGGCCACAAATAAAAATTCTGGATCCGTAGATCGATTGGAATTCAAATTCTAAGTAATATCCTCTTACAAACCATGTCCATACGTGTTGTGGTTGTAAAGTTATAGTCCAATCTCTCCAGAGTGCCAAATTTGGCAGGGAAAACAAGCTGATTTCGCATTTTTGGAGCAATAAATACAATTTCTACATAAAAAACACTCTCAGTGGATTCAATCACATCATTCCCTCAAACCCACTGCAAAAAATATATTGGATTGGTGTTGTGGAAGGTACAAAGTCCATGTCTCAAGAAATTGGCCCTGTGACGCTATGTCACGGCATGTCACTGGTCATCACACTTACAAGGATTGTGCAACACCACTTATAATCCTCCAAAAAGTATCCACTTTCTCGTGAACTTGAAGTTCCATCTCAGAATCTCGAAGAATCCGGACTTCAGGATGAAAATGTCAATATGGCTAGTAAAACCTATCAACATCGTCAGCACAATCATTACCTCCTCAAACCCAAACAGACAAACCGTATTCACGTCCGGTTCAATCGTCTCAAACAACCAATGAAATAAGGCGGGATGAAGGACACTATGTATGGATCGGACCTGGATCGGACGGTTAAGTTGGTTCGGTTAGTAGTGATGAACGCACAATATCAGTTGTCACTGTCCATTCTGCGCTCAAGCGCTAATCTGAATACTATTCAGCCTAGCTTCTCGGAATTTAAGGGAGAGAATTCAACTTGTCGAAAATTTCAAATACACAGTCCGGGAATTTTCGGGCCGAACTCGCCTTGACCTAAGCCACGTTTTTATGCACATCACGTCCACCGAGCATTCTGTCCACCATCTGTATTCCATCTGGACCCTCTGGCAATGTCAAGGCAAAGACGGAAGGGAAGGACTGGACTTACTTGGCGAGCGGACAATGCGACCGTCTGGCTCGTCTCCTAGCCTTGACTTTAGTGTTTTCTCGACACTAACGAGGCCACTTGAAAAACGAAATTCTAGCCAATCTTTGCTCTGTTGGGCTCTGGGCTCCCCGACTTCGAGCCATTTCTGGTATTTCGTGCGTCGTGTTTCCGGATAAAACCGCTCAGAGGTCATGGCTACAAAAATTGATCGCTGGCCACACCACTTGTGGATCCCAGCATTGTCCCCCGGATAAGGAAAATGTGAAGCCACCAAAAGATACTTAAGAGAATGAACGCGTTAACGACATTAGTATCCTGGCTTTCCACTCTCCCGCAACCACCCCTGCTTCCTGAATGTCTTCACACAATTGGATCTTTCCAGATCCCGAAATCTCCGGTCCTATGGACTGGTCAGTCAGCGCGTACGGCGCCGCTCCCATGTCGTTGGGACCCGACCCCTTCAACAACTTCCCTTCACGCACCCCCACCATGTCGGGATATTCTGAGTATTCCCAAAGCAATAATTACGGCTTCACCGCCCCTCCTCCACCCGCCCCTACTCAGCCGGGATTTTCAACCTCCAAAGATAAGGGGAAGTCGCGCGCTATGGTTAACCGGACTCCCCTGCACCAGGTTTCGGGGTCAGGTAAGAAGCCTCAGGAGCGCACGCACCAGGTCCAGACACCTACGCCCGACCACATGAGTTGGGCCAACGACAGTTTTTTTGACTTTTTTGGCAGCACCTCAGACGGCGTCATGGCTCCGGTGTTACCTCAGAACTTGAACCCGGAATGTACCCGGCCTAATCAGTGGACCACGAAGTCTCCTGGGGATACTTGTACGTGGAAGTCACAGAAGCTTGACAAGCTCACGGGGTTGCCCCAGCCAACGACCATGCTCATGTATCCCACTCGCAACCCCAAAATTACTGGCCCTATGAAAGCTCCCAGTATCACGTTCACAAAGGTTGAGGAGCTCTTCCCTCCGACAATTCGTTGTCTCGTGTTCGACGAGAGTGGACTCCTGGCCCATCACAACGACCCATTGTTTCTTCCCCCTCTTACGAAAGAAGAAAGGAAAGCGTATCTGACAATTCTCTATGATGTAAATTTTGAGCGTTTAACATTGCTGGGTGTACAACTCATCCGGTCTATCTTGTAGATCCCATACGTCGATCTTTTCTGGGAGACAATCCCGAAATACCATCGCGGCGGAAGGTCCCTCACTCGCGGAGAACTCGCTATTGCTGTTGCAAACGTACTATGGGGCACTTGGGTTAACTGGCAGGAAAAGACGGGTTGTTCCAAGGAGTGGGAGATTGGAAAGGCATACTCGGTAAGATTTACTGCAATTTTCCGGTTTTTTATCTCTGACGAGGTTGACTGCCCTTAGAAACCGACATCAATTCTAGTTGATTCCGATCCCTGGAGACTGGAGCTCGTTCGACCCCGCAGAGTTCGACTTGCAGGGCTCAATTGTTTTGGCGAAGTGTGGGTTCCGGTCATCTGTATGGATCGGCCATGGAGGTGGTGACAACAGGTTGAAAGAACATTTTTCTCAATCGCTCTCTGCTCTGTATCCTTATAACTACACTTACTTTTTGAAAGAATGGCATTTGAAGGTATCAATATGTAGTACCCTCTCGGGACACTTTCAGTTTAATATTCTGGGGGCTTCAACATCGCCCCTATGTTTTTGTTTTAGTCTATCTGTTTAGCTGTACTTAGCTTACAAGAATCGCATTTGACGAAGTGAACTTTCAACTTGTGCGATCTTAAAAAAGGCTTATGGTCTGTCACGTGGCGTACAAATTGGAGCACACAGTGATCATACATCAAAAGCGGAAGCAATTCAACCGCGTTGTCCAACCTGAGGTTGAATACGTTTTCTCTCCCCCACTAAAAAACCCATCAGGTTCAACGATTAAAAAGGCTCGAGGCCCCCAGGGCCCCTAGAGCAATGTGTTGTATTCTCTGGTCTTGAGCTTGCGTCATTATGTGAACGATCTCGCTTTGCCTCAGGCCGCCGCTGTTGTCGCTTTGTCTTGCGACGCCTTGACTTCTGGTGTGTAGGGGCCGCTCTGCCTTGACTTTTGCCAACTACGCACCTTTTCCTCTGGCGCCTTGACTTCTAGGCAAGCTTGTCCACTTTTCCTTGACCATGCCTCTGTATAAAGTCTCCGAATTTGAGGGTGAAATGAAAGCACCTTCAAATCACTCCCGACCGCCGTTCATCATCCTCTCGCTATCCATCAGCTATGTCTACTCATCCCAACTGCTCTGGAACTTTCTCCGCCGAATATGCGGGGGTTATTATCTGCCAGGAAGTTGATTGGGAGTATCCCTTTTCCTCTAGACGCCATCCCAACCAAGAGTCAGTGGGTGCCCAGGCACATCCTCCTCCGCCCAACGAAGGGGGTAACCGATCAAACGATGCGCTGGCTCGACGGCGCGATGCAGAGCATTTTCTTGCTACTAGCATTCCTCCTGTTATCAACAGCAACTTTAAATTGCCAAATGACTCGGAGATCTTTTATTTTCCTCGCTCGCCGGAGTATTCAGCCTATCCTCTTCATCGGCGTGTCGTCTTCACTCATGGTGACACCAAAGGTCTATCACTCTGGCGTGTCCGTGCAGCGGACATCATGGGGGTAGACTTCGTCGACAATCCAATGTTGCGCGTAATCACCATTAAACCCTACCAGACAACAATCCGGCTTCTCTTTGATGTGGGTATTGTATTTTTTTGTGTCTTACCTCAACCTAACTCGTTCATTGATAAAGTGGCCACTGCCCCCTCGTCAAATTCAAGAACAACCTCGTCACCTGACACACACGCGCGTGGTCGATATTGGGACATTCAATTCAAATCCACACAAAAAGAACAAATATATCAGGACGGCCTGTCTCGCTCGGGGCGTCGCGTATGCGGTACAAGAAGATATATATGCTCTTTTGAGGGATAGACCGAAGGTACGCCCTGCTTAGTGTTCTCTACGCGCACTGATGCTCACGCGTCTTTCTCCCAGCTCATTGCGCCCATCTTTCCGGGCTCGTCGACATACGTCGACCTCGGCAAGATCGATTTCAACAATGTTCTTCTTATGGGACTCAACTATTATCCGGAGACGGATGTATGGGTGCCAGCGCTTGCCGCTCCTTTTGCTGTTATTCGGCGCGCTTTCGTTGAATAATTGCCTTTCATGGTTTCCCGGTAATTACTCTATGATGTCATCCGGATATCTGACGAATAATTTCGGCTGGAGACCAGTGGTGGGGTTTTTCCTTTCAACCTGTCCTCGTCACTCCTTTGTCTGTTACGCGACTCACAAGCTCACACCGTTCCTTGCGCTGTCTTCTACGCCCCGCTACCGTATTACTTTATGATATCATGACTTGAACGATTGGAAAATGACTTGAATGTCCGCCAGCGGAATTTGAATGGTGATATCTTGGTGATATCACAGAGGACATCTGGGGAATGGAAAAGTTTCGACTTTCTGATATCACATCCCGATTCTTACTTGACAACGGCTCTTTGACGAGAGAGTGTGAACTTCGACGTTCCTTTGAGCAACCCTCCCCACAGTCACATCCATTGTTCTTCCCCGTTCGATCGAGGCGCGCCGGAGCTTTCTTTGGAAAGCCAAATTTAACCTTCAAGCCTTCCGAGATCTCCTCCCTGTCTTTATGTCGATCTCTGTGCCCTCGGACCCTACTTCGTCATGCCTCGAGGCGTCAATCAACTTCTATGGACGACCTCTTTGAGTAGGTGAGCCACTGCATCCAAAAACATATAAATTCGCATACGAAAATCGCTTTACTCAGAGTTCAGAATACCCTATACCCCAAGCCCTCCTTGTTACCACCTCGGTTGCCACTTTCCTTTGATGCGATACCAGGCTCTCTCAGTTGCTGAGCACCTTCCGCCCCGACTTCGCAATGGTCGCGACGCGCGGCCTGCACCGCAGCCAGTCAAGCTTCCCGACGTCCAATGGAGCCCCCCTTCCTTTGACGACTCATCAGTCTTAGGGACCAAGAAGAGTCCTGCTATCACTCTCCCACCTTTCAGGTATTTGGAGAACGCTGATGCACCCCGTGTCTTCCTTCATCCCGGGAATAAGCCCCACGTCGTGTATCCCGAGTCGTACATTCCCGAGACGACTTCATCAAAATATCCTCCGGATATTATGCAGGACAAATACTTTTACCTGCCCCGCTCTGCGTCGTATACTGCAGAGCCCACCCTGCCGCCTATTTACTTCTTCCATAAGAAAGAGGCTGGCGTTTCGCTACATCAAGTCTTCTTTGGGGACGGCAGGCACTTCATCGACCAGTCGATGAAACGCGCTTTCGTTGATGTGAAGGCTCCTTTTCCCCTCCTTCGTATCCAAATTGATGTGGGTTGCTATTGTCTTTGTCGATTCCGGTATCTTACTGAACTTGTTTGGTTAGTGGCCGACACATAATATCCCTGTCTATAAAATGAGCAGCGGAAACCCGGAGGGCACCCACTCCGTCACCCAAGGCTTTTTGGTGAGGAGCATTGCTCAGCAGATCCACCACACCTTGTTAACCTTGCGGAATTCGTCTACCAACGTTCGTCAACCCGCAACGCGTCTCATTCTCTGGATGATGTACTGAACACTCTTTATGCAGCTTTCCGTCCAGGTTTCTCCTGGTTCTCAAGTCTACTGCGACTTGAGTAAGGTCCCGACCATGGACATCGTGCTCGTCGGTCTCAACCACTACGGCACGCCCGGGACTGAAAACAGCGTATGGGTACCCATCCTTGCGCTTCCCCATGAAGCCGCCAAGGCTTCATTATTTTCATTGAAAGCTTCATTGTAGCGTTTAGTACTACCCCTATTTTTATCGTTATCTATCAAACCAGCCCTATCGGCAACTGTATAAAGTAGGAAAACTTGGATGTATGAATACAATTAGAACGCAATAAAGCAACGTGTTTTCCACTCTTCCTATCACATATTCTGGTCAAATTTGGGAAAGGTAATTTTTTACCTCTCATCGGCAGAGTCGGAATTCGGGACACGGTCATTTACTTTTTCTCACCCTTTCCAGCTAACTGCATAATCGTAGACCACATCTGAAATTTCACTTTGCGCCTTTGTCTGTGCGTAAACATCTGTTTTAGGCCGTGGCTATGTAAACCATGACGCCGATTCGCGCGCGCTGCCCATTGCTCCAAGTTCTAGCACCGTTTCGGTAGTTGCTCCAAACGCTCCAATCCCGCCCCGCACGTCATAAGGGTGGAGCGGTTGGAACTTGCCAACTTGGAAGGGCGTTCTACCTAATACGGTTGTTTGTACAAATAAAGGCGCACAAAGTAAAATTTAGATATGGTCTACGGTTATGCAGTTAGCTGTCAAACGTGGCTCAGTCCCTTTTGTTCTCAACTTCCACCCTAAATTCTCGAATTCCAAAGGGCAATGACGAGGAATAATAATATTCGGGGTCCTACCTCTGCGCTGACGGAATTTTTGAAGGTATGTAGTAGGCGGAGTCACAACGTCTCAGAAACATCGCTTATCATCGGCGCTGTGTAGGATTCTGGCATAACAGCAACGACCATTGCGCGAAGGGCAGCGACGCGGCCCCAGAATGACAATGATGGTCAACCAGTCGCAGGCCCTAGTACCGCCCCTGCGGCCAGCACAAGCAGGGGCTCTCGGAGGCGCAGGCCGACGCAGGTGAGGGGACATGTCAGCGTTGCCAGCTGTCCTAATATGTGTTGGCACCAGGCCTCTGGTTACAATTCTGATGATCTAGATGACCCCGAGGGCGAAGAGGAGCAAGAGGTGCCGGCCAAAAAGCGGAAATTGACCAAGGCCGCGGAGGCAAAACAGACAGCAAAAGCAAAGAAGAAAATGAAAGGCAGCGACGACGACGATTATAACGACGAAGACGACGCTTATACGGCGCTCTCGAAGTCTTTATGGACGAACAACGGCAACTCGTCGTCGAAGCCACCTGTGGGAAGCTTCGAGGAATGCGCAGTATGCGAGAAACAATTCACTGTGGTATGTCCGGATTTCCGACAATACGATGATTCTTATTCAATGTTAGACAAAATATACTATGGCTGCCAACCCGGGACCAGGGTATCTCTGTCATACATGTGCCAAGGCATCAGGAAACGACCCGTTCAAGAAGCCTGCTCCAAAGAAACGCCAAGTACCCGCTGATAAGAGGACCATTACCCACTTTGTTGAAAGCCGGTTCCCCTCGTTGGTGTCTTTGTGTATCGACGTTGGTTTGGTCGTTTCCATTCGTTGCGCCCTATGTTGACTGTATGTTGCCTTAGCTTGTCACGAAGCACATCGACGATATTGAGGCTTTGGGTGATATCGGCACAATGAATATGGAAGCTATCTCGAAAGCGCTTTCTAAGAATCGAAGATTGTATGTTCTTTGACCTGTTTTCACTTCTGGTACCTTTTTTTACGACTATCAGGACTCCTGAAAACGCCAAGCTTTTCTACAACGCGTCCAACTTATCACTGACCCTCTTTGATGCCACTAGTACGTGTTGCATCTGCCCTTTAACATTATCGAGCTAACTAAGCGTATAACAGACCTTCCCTCGCCCGCCCTCGAGTCCCTTGTGTACCTCAACGCAAACTTAGCATCCCTCCGCCTCGACTTCTGCGGCCTTCTCGATGATGCAGCGTTTAAAGTCTTCTCCACCTCCCTCCCTGCCCTCACCCGCATTGAACTCCTCGGCCCCTTCCTAGTCCGTACAGGGGCCTGGCAAACCTTCTTCAAATCCCACCCCATTCTCGAAGGCTTCCTCATCACCCAAAGCCCGCGATTCGACGTGGCATGCGCCAAAAGTCTTGTCCAGCACTGCCCTGGCCTCAAAGAGCTCCGGCTCAAGGAAATCGGCAAGATGTCAGATGAATTTATAGAGGAGATCATGGAACTAGGGGTTGGACTGACTTATCTCGACATCTCCGACCCCACCGATTCGTGCAGCAATGATACGTTGATTGGGATGCTTAGCGTCTTTGGCGCCGAGCTCATGCATTTGAATCTGTCGAAACACAGACTTATCACGGATAGGTTCCTCAGTGATGGGCTGGGGGAGTACACGCAGCGTTTGGATTCGCTGCTGTTCTCGCATCTCCCGGAGCTCACGGACAAGGGGGTTGCGGACTTTTTTGGTGGATGGAAGGGTCACCCCGCGTTGCGCCATCTTGAACTTGCGAGGAACCATGAGCTGGGGAGCGCTGCGCTTGAAGCTATCATGAAGCATTCTGGAAAGAGGCTCGAGGAACTGAACATCAATGGGTGGAAGGAGGTTGGAGAAGACGCGTTGAGGGCCATTGGGAGGAGGGGAGGGGAGTTGAGGAGGATAGATGTTAGTTGGTGTAGGGAGATGGACGATTTTATCATGAAGGCCTGGTTTGAGGGCGAGGATGTGCGTGGAGTGCGGAAGGGTGGCTGTATGAAGGTTAAGGAGATCAAAGTGTGGGGGTGTAACAAGATTACGAAATGGTGTCAGAAAAAGGTGCGAATGTCTGCGTTTTATCGCTTTTCGGCTCTGATAGGTGTTGCTTTCTATAGAGTGGAGCTTCTATCCATGGTGTTGAATCTCATGTTGTTCGTTAGGACAACGGAGAATAACTACCACAATAATATATATATAGGAAGTTTACTCGTGTGGGGAAAGATGGGGGTCTGCTGCGATATATATGTGGCCCGGGATTATCAAGGTGTTGTGATAGTGATTTATTCATGATCTTGAATACTATGCAATGTTTAAGGAAATCGCGTCGCGTAATCGCCACAACGATTGAATTCAAAGATGCTGGCATCCGTATTTTCGTTAACCAGACTTTTGTTCAATATCGCTCAAATCAATTTCCTCGACTGGTATCGTTCAAAGGGACTCTGGAATCTTAGGAGATTTTGGTCTAAGATTCGAATTGGAAGTTCAAGCAAGTTCAAGCCAAACCTTGCAATCGTACAGAGTCCGCTGCCTGCAGCCTGTAGGCCTAGGTAGGTTTCCGTAAGCTTCATATCGGAGCTTCGAATTTCACGACAAATTGGATAGGTGCTTCGCAGTGCTTCAAGCCCATTCACCTCCCCATCCCCAACATCCATACTCTCATCATCCACATCACGCCTAATAAACCTCCCTCCTCCCCTCCCCGGGAAGAAGAAGAGGGTAAACTCAACCCACCCCACGCCCTAATCTTCCGTCTCTTAAACTCCCTGGTCTTCTCCCTCTCTCGTTCCCTCTCACGCGCTTCCTCTCTCTCTTTCTTCCCTTCCGCAGTCAATTCTTCGTCTTCACCGTCAGAAAGATCAGCGAAAAGGGCTAACACAGGATCGACGATGGCCTTTCTCGTACTCTTTACGAGAAGCTGGAGGTCCGAGAGCGAAGACGTTTGTGTGGTTGGAGGGATGAGGTGTGCTTATATGACATTTTTGGAGTCAGGGTCCTTCCTGGTGGATGGTTGGATAGGAAGGGAATAAGTTTCAGGTGGGGCTGACATGGTGGCGACGAAGGTCAATCCAATCCGGTACGCCCACATCGCTGCTTTCCCTATCGTACATGCATTTTCTTAAGCTCGGTGTAAGCATAAATTTTAAGAGAGTCAAGGGAAAAAATACCAATTCAGCTGGAATATTACTGGACTGCTTTCGCAGGCCGCTGGTAGGTTTTTACCCCGACGATGATCGACCGCAACTCCGGACATGAGTCCCACAACGCATCTAATCTTCTGGTCCACATGTTCGGGTCCGCCGGGAGAACCACCCGCGTCAAATCCAGCCCTTGAACGCACGGGAACTTGTCTGATACCCAAGAAAAGAAGCTGTCGCACATCCGTGAGGAAATGCGGCATCCCAAAATGATAATTTCCAATGTTTCCACACAATCCAAGGACCATGTTTCTGACTTGGCCTTGGAAAACCATTCCGTAAGACCGGTCGCATCCGAAAATTCGATGGAAAGGTGGATTGTCCCTCTTTTACGATCTGCTAAGTTTCGCAAGAGAATATCAAGAGCTTTAACTCTGAGTCGCCTGGGATAATGCGTCAACGCAACGGAGCGTAGATGTGGGAATAAGTGTCTCCGGCTGGAAAGTAATCTTGAAAGATAATCGGGGTTCCCGCTGATTACTTCAAGGTGAGGAAGAAAGCCCTTCGGGGGCATGATTGGTCCTAGTGGAATACTGCAAGATATGTCGAGGTGGGTTATGCTTGAATGACGCCGCAAGAATGCTGAAAGGTCGCGGAATTTGATGTTGGAATCCCGAACATTAAATTCAGATAGGAGAGGCATGGAAAGTAGGGGCAATATGTTGGACCAATCTGAGATACGGAGTCTTGTGTGCCATAAAGATAATTTGGTAAGGTATCCGCCATTCAGAACTCGTAAGGTGTGCGGAAAGCATGTTTCATTGAAAAGGAGGGGAGAGTGTATCTCAAAACTTTTGAGTTCTCGGGGTGTACCGAAATATATGCCTGTGTTGGGGATCTCCCTTTCCGGTGCGCCAGCCTGGCGGTTGGGCAGAGTACCAATACCACCCGACCGCATTTTATGACCAAAAAAGTGGTCCTTAAGCCTGCCAAAATTGGAAAAATAGGTTTTGGGGATGGGGGGGAATGTGGATTGTGGTGAACCCGAGACAGACAAGCTTGCCATCTTCTCCCAGGAAATCCTGATCAACGAAGCCAGCGGTTTGTACCAATCTTTGTGGCCAGACATGCGTGGCAGTAAATCGAGATGGAGGGCAATATGACCAACAGCGTTGGCGTGAAAAATAAGTCCGTGGACGCCTGCGATTTCCTCAACAATGAAGGCTGCAGGGACGTATTCGATTTTGTGGAATGAAGCTTGAAATATCTTCTTTACGTCATCTAATCCTTCATCTTCCATTGCGATTGAACCAGAGTTCTTGTAGATACGAAGGCAACCTATGCTCGCTGATGCGCGGCGCAGCACGGGAAGTTGGCGCTCGAGGACAAGAACCTGACATATGTCATGGAGACTGCGACAAGTCATTCCCAAGCAAGCGATGGTAGTAGCATCTGTAGAGTTGTCTGAATGGATGATCTCCAGGATGAGTTCCGTTGGAAGGTCAAGTATAGAAGCCGGCATGCCACTAATATGAGGTCGGCTGATGAGAAGATATTACAATGGTGAACTCCTAGCGGATCGACAGAGAATGAAAACGAGTGCAGAACCGTGTGTGACGTTCCTGACTGGCTGTGCCGATTTTTATGGGCAGGCCGTGGAAACTTGCAAGAAACTTGAGGCTTATTTTTTGGATTGGATTGACGTGCAACAAATAAGCTAGTACTAAATTTGCCCGCCATTGCTTTGTCGCGGAGTGAACTGAAGATGTGAGTGAGTCCAATAAGTATCTTATCCAAATCTCCTCTAAATAGTAAAATACCCCAATCGCAAACTAGTACCCCTTACATGGAATGTTGACAAGGGAAAAGCGTCGCGTAATCCGCCACACAATGATCGTGAAAATTCAAATTAGCAGTTTGGCTTGAAGAGCCAAACCTTGTTCGACAGCGCGCAATATGTGGATATCCAGTTAGTAGTCTCTCTACAGCTGCAGTTTACTATTGAGGATTCCCGCTGAGGCAAAACATGTTAAAGAGTCGAATCAGCAAAGCGATTTTGTTACGGGTAAAGGTCGTCTGTTGACATAAATGGCATGAAAAGGGGTTGCGAAAGGCAGGTATAAGTCAAGGGAAAGGTTTTATGGCGAAGATTTTAATGGAGGCGCCGTCCTCTCAAGAATCAATTCCATTGTCCACGCTCTCAGTAAGTCTGGATCCAGCTTCTGCTCGAACTCCTCAAGAGCAGTGGTATCATGGGCCGTGACGGTCATGGCGAGTCGTTCGAACTCAGCTTTGATTTCCTGAACATTAGGTTCAGGCTGAATTTGGCATTGGCTATCCTCGATTGTCGATTGAGACAATGGTCCGCCAAAGAGATCATACATATCTTCTTCGCTCAATTTTCGGGTATCTGATGTGAGATCGCCGGGCTCGGCCTTTGGGTGTAGGGTAGGTGGGGGAGATGGTGTAGGAGGTTGCATCGGGGTCGACAAATCGCGGGGAAGAGGCCCACTACGTCGCCGTTCTCTGCTAAGAGCTTCGTCTTCTCGTCCCTGTCTCACAAGCCTGGAGAACTGTCCAGCACGAGATTTTGTAGGAGGTGAATACTCCGAAATTTGATCATCATCAAGGACAGGTTTGACATTCAAGCTGGGTCGTTTTGCTTCAGGCTTGTGGCGAGTGTTGGGAGAAAGACCATCTAGGATGTGAGACTGGTTGGCCTGTTCGTCTTCATCATCTTCCTCCTCCAAAGCTAGCTCCGCCAACATCTCATTCCCGACTTTGTTACCCGCTTCCATGATACGACGCAGCACAACCAAAGTCTTACTGAAGGACTTGGTTTGCTCAAAGATGAGTCGGACTGGCTTATACGCAAACCCTAAATCCGCTGCCATCTTCGCCAAGGCGCCTCTCACACCGAATTCGAAGACGAATTCAAGCTCTTCAGGGGGTAATGATCCCACAATAGTTTCAGAGCGGTGCGATTGACGTCGGGATATGTTCAAAGGTGTGGAAGAGCGAGAGGATGTGTGACCTGACGTTGACTGGAAGAGGCTAGTACGACGACGAAGAGCCACTTCGCGAAGATCCATACGAGGAGAACGTTTCTCAGATGACTCGTGGTGTGGACGATGTACGAGAGACCGCCTGGTAGCCATCCTTCGTAAATTGACCTTGGTATTGTTGAGTGGGGTGCTGGTGAAAGCGGGCAAGGGCATCTCGTCTTCGAAAGACTTTCTCTCCGGCTCCACCTTCTCGACGAGCGTGACAGAGTCGGCCTTGACAGGTGTAGAAGGAATGTCCGCTGACAAGGTCCTGGAGAGCACTAGAGGTCGGGATTGAGGGACAATTGAATCGGTGGAAGAAGTTCCTGAACCTGCTTCACGAAGAGATTGATAGTTCTTCATCTTTTGCACGCTCGAAATCTGTGCCATCGAAGGTGGAGAAACAGAACTTTGCACAAGTCGTTGTTGAATGGGCTTTGGGGAAAGAGATTCGACGGTCATTGAGGCAGATTCATAGGGCAACTGGGGATATGAATTCAGGGAAACTTTCGGTAAGTCCGCAAGTGTCACTTTGGAAGAAGTTGCAACAGCATTGACTTGAACGGGCTGCCGGCGTCTACGTGGTGGGTCGGGTATCATTGAGGTCTGGCCCTGTTTTGTATTGACCGTAACGTTGACCTTCGTCACGTTGCTTGGACGCTCCTCTGACTCGATGTCTGCTCGACCCTTGCCATTGCGGTTGTTCGACTGGCCATTTGCAGCGAGCTGAATGGGAGGAAAACGAGTCTTCCCCTCAACGCCTTTATCAAATGAAGTAGCGCCGTCGGCTTGCTTATCGTCGACATCCATGACGTGATTCTCATCTATACCGCCCTCGGTTAGGCGATCAACGACCGTCTCTGTACCCTTGAGCCCGTTGGTCAATGGGGCAGCTTCTACGTTCTGGTCATTGCCCTTTCCTTCCACCTTCTGCACCAGACCGTTCTTGGGTTTGACCAGCGTCTTCGAGGGGGTCGTAACTCCCTTATTCCGTTGAGGCGGCCATGTCTTCTTTGCTTCAACAATCTCCACGGCACTGTCAGAGTCGGAACCAGCACCAGTAGGCCCCAAATTAAAAGCTGTTCTGAAACCGCCCTGAACCAAGATGGGTGGTCGTTTTGGTTTGGGAGCAGGTTGAGAACGGATAGGGGTGGGTGGTGGTGTTTCAAAAGGATCATCATCAATGTTTTGTCGACGAAGTTTACTTGATTTGATATGGTTTTTGTGGGTGGGGTTTGTGATTGATGGATCCTTCAGCAATAGCGGTCGTATAGCTGGCTTCTTAGCAGGTACACGGGCGTTTATGATCAATGTGGAGTCGTCCGCGCCCGAGACAGGAGGCGTGGGCTCTTGAGAGGGATGAGTCAAGAAGGTTCGTCGTTTGCTCTGTATGGGAACTTCCGCATGTGAAGCTGGCCTGGAATACGCGGAATCATATTGTCCAGGAAGATGAAGTTCTCTGGTCGTCAGATTGGGAGATGGCAAAGTCTTCAAGTCGGGGTAGGCGACCTCATGATCTTCGTACGGACTTTTGGGCAGCTCAGGTCTGTGAGACGTATGAATTGATAGTTGGATCGGGCAGCGGACGGACTTACGGATCATGAATCTCCTCATCCATGCCATCCGTCAACATCGCATTGACCTCAGATTCGTCGTCGGGCTCCTGGTCAAAAATCTCACCGCGATAATCGTCAGAATGAACAGGCGCAGCTTCATCCTCTCCTTCAGTATTAGTATTTTCCGCAGGAGGGGGTCCAGATTTAAGAGGGCGCATGGCCTCCTGATTTATGGTTGTTCCAGTTTTGGACGACGCTGCCTGACCAGAAGAAATTTGTCTATGCTTGGAAGGACCCGCGACTGCGCCAGCTTGAGCATTGGCACGTTTCTGGACGGGACGAGTCACAGAGGGCGCCTGGTCGTGCTTTGGCCGCTTGTCTGGCCCATTCCCTGCCTCTGAGACACGCTTGCGCTTGCGTTGACGAGCTTCCTCATTGTCGTCTGCCTCCTCTTCGAAGACGGTTGTTGATCCCGGTTTCGGCTTGGATGGTTGCGGGACCGTACGATGTTCCTGTGGCAAGTTCTTCTTCTTCTGATACAGCCGAATGCGGTGGTTAAACCGTTCCTTGTTTTTGATATATCGTTCACGCCATGATTGCCAAGTATGGTGCTTGCTCCACGGCCATTTTTTGTCCACCTAGATAGTCCGTAAGATGGTGCCGGTATTTACATATCCACCCCACTCACATTTTCAACCAGATCCGTGTAAAGTTTGTTACCGCATCGCCCTGCAGTTCCGGGGGAGTATGTTGCCAGGTACTTGACCAGAAGTTGGTCGTCATCATCGGTGAAAGGAGCTCGTCTGGTGAAAAGCTGCTGAGCTTCAAATATCCAATTACAAGACACGACTCACCCCCCAGTCAACATCAGGCTAAATGTGAGTCCTAAAAACCTTGAGTTGAGGCAAACGTGCTTCCGGACTTTCTTTCAGGTTATTAGTTGCTCTGAACGTACTAAGATCCATCGCAAAGGAGCCTCCTGGTCAGAAAAAATCATGTCAAGAGTTGATTGAAAGTACCAGTAGAATCGCAACCTGCCACCGCGTCCGACGTTCCCAGAATATCAACTTTAGAAAGTCCTGGCCTTTATGCCCTGAGAAACGGGTATAAATGATAGAGGAACGTTGGCTTGTTGTGGCGAAGGTTCCACAAATTCAACACACCCAGTCACATCACGCGTCGCGTCACTTCTGTCACGCACCGCGACCATGAAAATCCCATGGACAATTTCTGATTGATTTCTTAGTTCTTCACGAATCACAGGCTCTACCAAGGCTCTACATCCTGAGAACCGATACCCCAGATGACATTCTGAACTATGGTAAGTGCACCGTCAAAAACTTTAAAAAGACGTGCACCTTCATTATATACCGTTCAAGTGATAGCGACAAGATAGCAAGCCTTGCTGATGGAAACATCAGTCTAAAAGTGGCTGCTGCAACCGAGCTGCATGCAATTTGGGTCTGGGATATAATCGGCCGCTGACTTCACCACCCACCTTCACTTGTCCATACCTAAAATCTATCGTCGACGATCTTCAGTAAAGTGAACGTAAAACATGCGATCGACAAAAGTTTATCTTCTCATCGTACACAAGCGTTGGCTCCCCTTTGATCTAACATGTCACCTGGACATGCCTCGAGACTGATGCTCGTGAGGCGCCACATTTCAAAGGTATAAGCCAAGAGTCCCCAAGACTCCGAAAAGCACGTCTACATGCTGAACGTTTCCTACAAAGGACCCGTCCATAACCCATCACACCTCGGACAGATGTCTTCCCGAGTTTCCGTGCTGATTGAGGATCATATCGGCTCTCCCGCGTCTTCGAGCCCAGACCCTGAGGTACAAGAAAGTTGAACCTCTTTCCATACTTGCTCTGTATTGGCTTGCTAGAATCCAAAGTCCACGGCCCCACTTGCGCCAAGCCCCTCAGTGATCTCAGTCCGACACCACCACCCCCCACTTTTCCTCCGAAGCTTTTGATGTACCAACATCTTACGGCCCCCCGTACTTTGATAACGCTACGGGTGGGCTATCTCAAAACCGTCAAGTGATCCCAGCTCCTCCTAGGACGTGCCAAGTGTCGTCTGAACGCGTTTCCTCCAATCTATCTCCCTCGTTTTGCCATGACACGTCCACTTACCACCGTCGGTCGAATACTAATCCCAGAATTATACTTTCATTTGCCCACTTGGCTCCACCCAGCTCCGCACTTGCGTCTGTGATAACGCGATTCATGATCAGCAAAATTCTTTGACACATTCGCTCCCATTCCTCAGTTCTCATCTCAGTTAGATGAGCTTTGCGCAATGGCATAATGCTTGGCATAAAAAGCCTATCGAGGGCCCTCCCCTTGGCAGTTAAAGCCTTCTTTCTATCGAGATGAATATAAAGCAAAGCTCCAACGCTTTAGTCCAAGTAATAGCCTAACCTCGCTGCTTTAGAAATGACGGTCTTATCCTCCGAACGCGAACCCCTCCTTCGCGAACCCAGTTCCCGGTCTAGCAGCACCCCGCGCAAAGAATCTGACTTTTGTTCGTCATCTCTCCAACCAGCTGGTCCTCTTGATATTTCCGCCCCCTCTCGTCGGGGCATCCTGGCGGGCATCTGGCTAGCCCAGTTTCTTTCTGTGAGTTTCGGCCTTACCCGTCGTTGAATTAAATTTTAATCCCTTTACTCAGGCCCTTAACTGTCTGTCTTTCGACGATTCCGTTTAGTCCTGGACTGACTTGATATTATAGTGACTCTCGTCCCCACGAGTTTGTCATGTCTCCAGCTAATAATCTCGAGCTTTTTCTTAACATTCTCGTAGTGCTTCCTGCTATATCATCAGACTTCAACAAATCTAACGAAGCGAGCTGGGTGGGCACTTCGTAAGTCGCCCTTTCTACAACATCATCACCGAACACTTTAATTGTTATAGCTACCTACTGGCAACATGCACGTTTACCCCCCTTTATGGTCGCTTAAGCGACGTTATGGGGAGGAGAAGGGCCAACGAATTAGCAATTTTCTTTGCGGCCGTTGGCATCCTCGCCTGTGGTTTGTCGAATAGTATGCAGATGCTTATTATCTCCCGATTTGTCAGTGCCTTCTCCATCCTCCATCCTTCACGTCTGATTTTTGTCGCAAGGTTTCTGGCCTTGGAGGTGGCGGTATATTTACAACCTCTGCGTAAGTTTCATTCAACGCCGTTTCCACCGCAGATACCTGAACACCTTACCCAGAATAATCACAAGTGACATGTATAACATGCGTGTAAGTCTGACATCCACTACTATTGCCGTCAGGTTAGCTGAAAACACATTGTCTTCTAGTCTCGAGGTTTCATACAAAGTATAGGTGGAATGTTTTATGGTGTAAGCTCTCCTCTTGCGCTGTATCTTGACGTGTCACTCAATAGCATTTCCAGCTCGGAATGGGGCTGGGTGGCCCCCTAGGAGGCTTGATTACAGATTGGTATGAGATTGCAGCGAATTGATCATGGAATTTCATTTTAACGGCGTGTCTCAATAAGGCTAGGCTGGCGGTGGGCCTTCCTGATCCAAATTCCCCTCTTTGCCGTCTCCTTCAGTCTGACGGCGTACAATCTCAATTATGTGGTATCTGTATGGTGCATCATTGCCCTTTTTCAACTCAACCAACTTACCTTTCATTAGGAACGTCGCCGAAGCACTCTGGAAATTCTGAAGCGAATTGACTATGGGGGAACCTTGGCGTTGCTCATATCTGTTCGTGCAGCCCGCCGTAAACCTGGTTTTTTTTTTCAAACAATTAGTTAGGTCGGTTCGATGCTCTTCTTTTTGAGTATGCGGTACAACGAAAGCCTTCCCGTACGTTGCCCAAATTTGCTGTTATCCGCCCTTTACCTCAATCCTGTAGTGGTCTGACGCTGCTGTTTGGGTGTCCTTGCTGGCATCCTGCGTGGCCGCCGTTCTTTTCATCATCATCGAGGTCTACGTGGCTGTAGAACCAGTGTTGCCGCCTGTCTTCTTGACAAAAAAGGTCCCGGTTCTCGTGGGCTGCAGCAACGCTCTTGTCGCCGTTTGTAACCTCTCAGTAACTTACTTTTTTCCGACGTGGTTCCAAACGGTCATGTTATCGTCAGCATCAACGGCAGGTAATACTTCTATTGCGATCAACCCGATGTTTTGCATCTTATTCATGACTTGTACAGGATTGCATTTACTCCCAAATAGTTTCTTTATTTCAACAGGGTCTTTCTTCGCCGGGTGGGTACTTTGACGCCCCTCATTACCTCAATCTCAACGTCTCTCTCAAGGTGGATGATGCGGCGAACTGGGAGGTATAAAGCCATGAGCATGACTTTTGGTTGCCTGCCTTTCCTCGCCGCCATCTTAATGACACAGATGCGAGAAGATTCTAGTTCTGCCCATTTGTGGCTTAGCATCGTGAGTATCCTTCTTCTGTAGCCCATTTGCCACTGACGAACATAAAATTCTTAGATTCCTCTTGGGTTTGGAAACGCGGTCGTCTTACAAACGATGTTCAGTAAGTTAATCAACATAATACGTCAGACAAGATACTAAAATCCCATTGTGATAGTTGCACTTGTATCCCACCTTCCCGAATCTCAACTGGCGGTTGGCACAGGTTTCGCGCAGCTTCTTCGAGGCCTCGGTGTGCACTGAACCCTCCTTTGATAATATTCCGCTAACATGTCGTATACTCTAGGTCAAGTGGGAGGTCTAGCTGCCTCATCCGCAGTATTTCAATCACGACTGGAGTCCGAATTACGTGCCCGTCTGCACGCCCCCAACTCCGAAATCGTTCGCTATCCCCTTTATTTTGCGATTAGCGCACGGCCTGATGTTTGCGCTAATAGCTTATACAACAAATACGCCAATCCGCAAAACTGGTCGCTAATCTTCCGCCCGACATTCAGCGGATTGCGCGAGACTCTTACGCTACGAGTTTGAAGTCCGTCTTCGTGCTCGCGGCATGCGCCTCCTTTCTCGCTTATCTTGCGCGCGTACCAGTGAGAAGATCGATCTACATAGCAGACGATCCATTTCAACTGAGCGCCACAAAATTTAGATTCCTGAAAAACGCCTAGAAGACGTATCACCGACACCGCGTAATGAAGAGTACTCGGATTCAAACCCCTTGTTAGATTCCCCCAACTTTGAAGAAGTACGAGATGAAGACGACAAAATGGTTCACACCCGACGGCAAAACCAGGTGGTTTAATGTATTTTATTTTGCGATTCCAGCCTTGAACACATTTTTCGAATACAAATTTACATATGTGAAGCTTAAGTATTGGAAATGGGTTGTGAAGTCTTTTTGTAGCAAAGTAAACCGCCTCGATGCCCACTGTAATCTTAGTATGCAAGTTTTAGTTTTTTCGAGCCAACTCGATTTTTGTGCTCCCCAGATCTCGATCTACGCCCCGTTGAATCCATAGATACTTCGCTGATGCGGCATGGCCTGATCGATAGGGCTTTAATGCTATTACCGATAACACTGCAATCCTATTCCTGTGCATGGGGAATTAAGTAGGGCTCAGCCACATGCTGTATTGTACTTCGGCGGTTCTCCCGGCCTGCCGGCAAAAAGGACAGAAGGAATGGAAGAACACTTTTCTACGTCACGAAGAAAGCTGGACGTGGGATATCACCAGAGTTTATTATTGCTCGAAGATCTGGTTGACCAGGCCCCTTGCAGACCTTCCCGTGTCTCTTGAGACTATAGCGTGTCCCAAAGCTGTTACCACAGACGCAGTGGTGTTTTTTAATTTGAAGATGGGAATTAATGTGATCTAAGGGCAAGACGGAGCGTAAAGGAAACACAGAAAACAAAAAATATCAAGGTCTTACGTTTAAGGTTATGTTTAGCTGTGAAATCAGCACCGCACCACTGACACTCGAACTGCCCACGGCCAGATTGTTTTCTCCGTCGTTTTGCAAAATCAGTTACTTGCACCGATGCTACTCGGTCCCGTACAGGGTTTTGAGAAGGTGGGGCACGTTTTTCCTGGAGTACCTGCTCCCCAGTGCCGTAGTTGCCGTTGTACCCTCCCGTAGGGTTTAGATCGGCATACAGTGCGGTATTTTTAGCCACAGGCATTTGTTGCCTCCAAGCAACCAATTTTCCTATAAGAGCATCAAAATTACGCGCTGCGTCTGATATATCATGAAGCTATTTTACGAACCTACGCCGTCGACATTGCTGGTGCTGGCGGTTGAGATATTACACGATGGATCCGGATGGACTACACATCAATGTCAAAGACGTCGAGGATATCATTTTGGGAGACGTGGTTTACTATATCCCAAAGCAAAGTAACAGTTACAAGACATGGAATGCCGCCCAAAGGAGTTGGCAAAACCTGTTGCCTGTGGGGTAGAGTGATAGGGGGTAATGAGGGGGGTGGGGAAGGAGGGGATGCGGGATGAGGACATACAGCAGTGCTCATTAATGCGAAAGAACCTCTTTAAAAACGTTGCATGTCCTGACATTACGGAAGAATCTAGAGAGAAAAATCCGCGAGTCTTGGAGCTTCAAGCTTCATGTTTCGGCCCACAACAGGCAGATAAGGGGTGATGCATACGATGTATCAGCCGTTTGACAAACCGAAAACTCATGGCGGTACTCCTATGGGTTGACTTCAATTCTCGTATGACCGCATTCCCCAAGAAAAAAGAAAAGGATCCTGGATCTTGAGGCTTCAGCTTCACAGCTTCAACTCTATTATCGATATTGTCGCGAATTGTTATGAATTGAAGCCACGTGTTGGAAACGCGTCTTCATGTCTGCTACGGACTTAAGGCCTCCAAGTCGGGGTCGGTGGTCACCGGTTAGGGGTGTGTGGGGATCTGGTTGGGAGACGTATCCTAACATCTAGCATGAACAAATCAGTTCAGAGTAGTAGGCAAAGATTAGTCGATCAAGCTCAGAGCCATGGAATGGAAGTGTGATGTTCCCACGAATTTCGGGTAGCTGCGCCAGCTTGTTGAGATCGGTTCATCAGGAACTGTTGAAGCTTGAAGCTTTGAAGGTTCACGGGAAGTATCTGAGATCAAGGACATGTAGATGGCAAGAAGATCTACAGTCCTAACGAAGTACATGTGCACTATATGTTCGAGTTGATTGCTTTATTCGGAGCCGCAATTTCATGATCGATTGTTGGCTGAAAGAGCTGTCTCTTCCCAACCGACATCTCATACATCCATATGCATGCTCAACGATTATAGATTATCATAGAGGATCCGATCGTCCGTGCTTCTCCCCAATCGCATCTTCGTCGCATCACCAAAGGAACTTCGGAGCGACAAACTTGCTCAAAATTTCACTGAGGGACCTGGGACCACAAAGATGCAAGATGGCGCACAGTAAAGTGAATCTCTCAAACCTACCACTTTGCAATGTGTCCATGTCAGGAATGAGGTGGCCGTTCGTTGACCACCTATCGCCCAACTTCCGAGAAAATCTTGAGGCGGAATGTTTGTCATCGTCCTCGCTTGGCGAGTCTCTGACTCTCTGGTGACATATGAGCTGGAGAGCGGCGCTTATCTGCAAGGAGATGAACCGTGAAGCATTCCACTTGACAAACCTTCGCCCATTAATTTCGAAACGCAGCCCCTGCTGTACGTGGGTCATTTAGCTCCGCCTTCTTCGTCCAGGCTCACTGCCCGATAGTATGTAGTTTGATCTCACAAAAGATTAGCTTGCCAGATACATGGGCGCAGGAGCGCACCATGACATCTGCATCGTGGGCCGTTCATTGAGCTGCACTCAACTCTCCGTTTCATAGCCCACTGGTACAGCAACTCTTGACAATTGGGCGGTCAGTCGCGCAACACGAGGCAGGATCGCCAAAACCACGTTTTTTTACTAAACGCGAAACCCCCTGCTCTATGACGTAAGTTTCAAATATCAACTTCTTGTACGTTACCCAACATAGCGCCTAACGGCCGAGAGCTTGAATACAATCAAAGGGTAGAGAAGGTGGGCCATTGACGCTCACTGACTGGTTCGTTTCCACAACGCAGAGGGAAAAAAGATTCCCGTTTTGTAGTATCAGATGCAAATCAGATGGAGAATTCTATCGAGGAGTCGGGAGGATACTTTCCCCTCATGTTCAAGGCTGTCCGACTCGCCTGAACGAATTTGGCCGGCTCCTTGCGTTTGGACCTCTCTTGCTTCATCGGGACCGATTTTCGATATAAGCGCACGCCAGTCTCACAGAAACTCTAAATTTGTTCGGGCGCTCCGAAAATTTACTCTTCACGGGGCTTCCTCAAGTATCCGAGACGAGTGATGAGATTTTTAGGGACGACGAATGTGCTCAGCCAGTGCGCTCATTACTTTACAGCCAACCGATCAGAACGCAACGACATGCATCAAAGGGCATAGAGGGCAAGGTTGAAGGGGCGCGACTGTTAAGCTGTGTCAAGGTCCGCTGCCAGTAGATCTCATCGATTCATTATACATGCAAGTACACACCATTCTCTGCGGCAATGACTAAGACTGATACTACTTCCTGCTCCCTTGTGTGAAATGAATCATACATATTCTCGACAATGATTCAAGATTAAACCACGCCCCCAAAGATCATCTCAGTTTGTCCGACGCCCTTCCCGTGCACATCCCTGCATGCTCCACGGGGCCTGAACACTTCTACAAGGTCGAGATCGCAAAAACGTTTTAAGCACCGCCCCGCGATAAAAATGAGCGTGCGGAGAAGGAAGAGTGATGAGAGGAGACCAACAAGGAAGATGAAGATGACCATAGGCACGTCGACCCCATGTGCATTTGAGAGATGAGCGAGAGCCGACGGTAGCAAAGAATGGGGAGGAAGAGGCTCAACAGACGGATGAGGATGAGGATGAACACCGTGAAAAGGTTGAGGAACTATCCTCGAATTCGCGTTCAAGGTCGAAACGGGAGAAGACGAAGGCGGTGGCGAGTGGCGCTTGATATATGTAGGCAATACCGCCCCCGCGACTAAGAGATACAGGAACACAACAAGCGGCGCTAGAATCCTGAAAAATCGTTTCTGCGATACTGTGGGGTCTGCGCAAATTTGGCGGGTTGACGCTTGAAGGACAGACAGTATCCCGTGTAACGTGTGGGTATGTTTAGTTGTGGTGTTTGCTTGGAAAAGAAACGCTGGAGACGGTGGACTAGCTATAGGCGGGTACGTATGGCGCTGTGCGCGTGGAGGAGTGGTATCGTCCGCGCCAGTGAAGAACCCCATTCCAAGGTATGGATGATGGCACCCCATTTCTACGCCCATTTCCCGCTGCAGTGCGAACCTGCTCATTTTCTCCACCTCACAATCGACGTCTTTCTTGTCATCCTCCGAGGTCGTCCCAATTGTGTCAGCCGCATCGACAATGTTGAGCGTCGAGGAAACCAGGCGAGGCCGAGGACTCGACGTGAACTCGGAGAAGGAGGTCGTGGATATCGCAGTGGAGAGCGTTGAAGAATCCATGTTTACTTGGCGGTGAGGGTGTGCTCGAGAAGATAGACAAGGTCGATTCGGACCGAATTATATTTATATAAGAAGGTCGGCGGCTGACACTTCAAAATCCATCATCCATCTGGTGATGTTCAGTCATGCTAAATCATAAGAAGCTAGTACCGGTGTTAGCGAGTTGGTGAGTCTTCCATCGTTTCTTCGTCACAGCTCAACGCGATAAGCTGGGAGCAGTCACTAGCCCAGTTCGAGGCGCCAATACTGTGCTTTATCCATGATCCAATGCTTCTGTTATTTGGTCTGATCAAAATTCGTTCATGTCCTTTGTCAAGAGTGGGGTCCAGGACTGAAAAAATGTTAGCGAGCGGATGCCTGGTGGTTCGTCGATCTATCGTCCTCCTAGTTTCTGTTGGGTCCCGCAGGCATTGAGAAGGGAGACGCTCTGGTCTCGGATCCCCACATATCCTAGTTCCGACCCGAAAGCAGCTCCAAATTCCCAAGAGCCAGAGATCTTGCAATGAAATGGTGCCACAAGTCGACAGGCTCGGACCCACGTAAAAGTCCCTGCACCATGGGTCTAGGCCTGAGACGCCTTGTGCCCAATACGTTAATTCGAGAGGGTCAAATCTTCGAAACCCCTAACCATCGGTGGCCGATGAGCTTGGGCACAGTAAGAAAAAGGCAAGAAAAAGGGTTAGAGAACACTTCAAATTTCCCTCCCACGAGTTCGGAGTGTTAAAACTTGAAGCATGTGCTAAACACCTTGGAGTCGCTTGTTACATTTTCTCAATAATAAAAAAGCATCTACGCGTTACTAACTTATGGGAGTCGTAAATATGTACATCTGTCATGTCGTTAACTAGGAACTTCCGGCCCAAAATACAAAAAAGCCATCTGGCCCAAACACACTCTAGTGTCGTCTGCTGCGCTTCTGGCACTCAAACGTATTAAACAAATTCCCAATTGAAGCAGTCCTGTCTCCCCATGAGCGGTTGATCTCAGAAGGAAAAAAAAGAGGAGGGAAACGCACTGTACAAACGCCATCGACACCCTCCACATCTCCCGCCAACCTTGCCTGAGGTACTTCAAGAAACCCCTTGGGCCTCTTTCCCTCTTCCTCCTCGTCCTCCTTCTTCCCACCGCCGCCCCAAGGCCATGAGAATATCTCAGACAAAGACTTATCCTCGTCCTGCTGGTCTTGCCAGTCGAGGTCCATGTTCAAAACCTTATCGATGACCACTTTGATTGGGTGGTTCTGGGCGTTGACGGACCACCCGAGTTTGCGGACGGTGTCATAGCGGATTACTTGGCCTAGATGGCACCGAGATTCAAGAGCGAACCCGCCGAGAGAGCATGCTGATGTCAAGCCTGTGCACACGCCCATGGGGATCGGCTGTAGAGAGGGAGAGAGATAAATTAACGAAGATTTGTGTCAAAACAATACGTACATCGGCGGTATGATAAACATGGGTGATATGATGTGTCGAGGGTGGAGGAGGCAAATGCAGCCTTCGCGCTGCCATCTTCTCGGCCGGGCTTTCAAACGCGACCACAGGCAACCCAAAGGTAACCCCAATTAATGCCGAAAGCGACCCGCCCAATGAGTGGCCAGTAACCCAGATATTTGCATTAGGGTACATGTACGAGACGTTGTTGTAGAGGTTCAGACCTATGGGGTAAAAGAGGCCTTCCTCCATGGCTAGCGCGTCTTGCACGCATTGGTCTTTGCATGTATACCCGCCATCGTAGCATCCGCATACGGTGGACCAGGTGGGGCCGACGCGCGCACAACAACACGAGAAGAGGAGATTGTCATTCAGTTTGTCTTTGGCTGTAGTTGGGCCACCGTCTCCTACAGGCCAAAAGGCGGATGTACCTTTGATGACAATGATGACGGTCGAGTTGTCCGTGGACACAAAGACGTGGCCACGCATGCCGTCATCCGTCGGTAGCCAACCATGGGGAAAGTGCTATAAGCGAATTAAGATCAGTATCAAGTAGTGAAAGACGAGGCCACACAGACCTTATCCCATCCATCTTCGTCAAGATTATACCAATCAGACGAGTTGTCAGCGTAATACGCATTAAACGTCATCTTCGCCATGCTAAGCAAAGTGCTCCTTTTGCTTACATCCGGAATTTCAACATCCGTGTCCCACCAGTCAAGAGCGGAACTCATCTGGCTCTCAGCTTGCATTCGCCGTGCAGCGATGAACTCGGCATGAGATGGCGGCCGGGGTATCCGCGAACGCTTGGTATTCACTACGAACGTTGCATCGTTGGCAAAGTTGAACAACGGCGGGACGTCCGCAAAAACTATGCTTGATGTGTTGGTGGTGGCGTGTTGGTGTCGGAGCTGGAAGGTGATTGAACTGGGTTCAAGTTGTTCAGCACTGTCAGTGAGCTCTAGCCGCTGTGTAAACGGTGACCAGAGTAATGAGATAATGAGGGTGTGGAGTGTCGCGGGCAGCGAGAGGAGCATTACTTAGTGGTCGTGGTGGGTGCTCGAGGCCAAGCATGGATCTGTCCGACTCATCACGTGTCAACTTGCTGCGGATGTGCTTGATCCGCTCTTTGAGTCTCCCAAACTTGCACTGATCTTCGCAATTTTTCAACTGTTCAACGCCCTCCCCATGGCCTCTTTGATCGCAATCCAAGCAACCAGTTTATCTATGCACGACAGTTTAACCCAAGAATCGGTGTCTACTCAAAACGGCTATCGTCCTACGCCTTCAACTCTGCTCGTCATTCTAATTTTTTTTCGGGGCGCTCCGAGAACGCTGACGTGCTCCCGTATCGGACCTCTGGTTTTCCTAGGGACGAGAAAGCCTTGACGACTTACCAAAACAATGCTTTCTGTACGAGGCGGAGGATCCCATGATGTTCTCTACGTGGCGTACTCATAAATTAGATCCCCAAGAGGCCAAGGACCTTGCTATAACTTCGGGCGCTGACTCTCCTCAAAACTACCCGAAACTTTCCCTTATACCGGTTCCGACCTACTCCGTAGTCAGGGATAATCCTTCAAGGTTTGGATCCTTCACTTTGAGTTCTGTCGCACACCACTACCAAATTAACGGGCAACTCTTTTTAGAATCTCTGCCTTCATTTGTGAATGTCACCGACCCTATTTCTATAATCATCAACTATCGCGGGAAGGTCCCGCTACCTGCGCCTCATTTCGCCGTCATGCTCATCCCCAGTCGTCACAAATACACTCTCCGTCTTTCCTTGCAAGGCAAACCACTCCTTCTCATGCAGGTCAATGTACTTATCAGCCATTCTGTATTCGGTTCACAGTCATCTTAGCGAGCGCATCTTCGAATCCCTGAACCATTGCTGATATCGTTCCCCCTTATCTTCGTGCTCCATGTGCGCACTTGCCCTCATTGGGACTCCATAGGTCTGTGATACGTTTTGTCTTATGGGAATTCACTTTACCCGATTCGTCCTCTCACACAAGCTTTTTTCTGGCGCTTGCGCGAGGAATTTAAATCGCGAAATTGAGTATCAAATTCATCCGGAATTTCTCGGTACGAAATTCAATTCTATGTATCAACCAGAAAAGATTACTGTGATGTTGCAGACTTGTTGGCACTATCGGACCCTGGCATTTAAGACGTCATTTTACACCGGTTGCCATCGCGTTGCATTGTTGCAGTTGTAAGTTGTAAAGGCCCTTTGTTTCTGGGAAACATTTTACAAATTTCAATGATAGAAGAGCTACTGAACAGGTGTTACATAGATAAGAAAGAAAAGTTTTGAAGAGTAATTTGTTGATGGTTGTTGGCGCTTCCGTCCATCTCCCGCCCACCCACTGGCATAACAACATATTTACACCTCGGAAAAAAATCAAATTAAATCCCTGATCGAACAAAATGCGAGTCCTCTCACGCCTACGCGTTCCTTCAGCCTCGAGACAGCTACAGGAACGGTCAGCCCTTGTTTTTACGCGCAACAGACTCAATTGAACCCTGCCATGAGTCCTCCCAAGTTTTAATTTCTACAAGCCCTGCTTGTCATCGAGTTTACGGCCAAAATAAAGAGGGATAAAACAATGGTTTACGAAAGGAGAAAGTAGGTGACCCGACCATAACTGTCATTCATTGTTTCATGCTTAATTCGATTGAAAACGAACTTTGCTCCATCTTATCATGTATGATACTCATCAAAACATAGAGATGAATTGACCCGCTGGTACCAACGGTGACCAGGTTAGCGCTTGTTAAATTATCTGGAAATTTTCTCGACCGTTGAGTCTTGGCCGAGGTCTCAACGCTTGCGACGCACAGCAAACAAAGACACCTGTCAATTCTCTTGTTCTCAGTTTGTGATCGCCGGCGCTTCTTTGGCGTCAGAGTACCTATCCTTACTACTCCCTCGCGGTCCCGTCACTCGTGTTTCGTACGGCGATCTCCCACAAGCCATAGGTGGTATTACGTTCAAAAGAAATAGGCACAATGAAATATCATTGAATACGGCATCGTGACGCCTTTCGCTGATCTCCGTCTTCTCGGGGTTAAACACCATCTGAGCAGTTCAATGATTTTTTGGGTGCTCCGAAAACTATATGAGGCGACCCTCTCGTCATTCAGAAGCCTTCAAACCCCCTTCTTTTGCTTTCTCCAGAAACATTGCTGAGCAGTGCACATCTTATGCGTATAGACAATGGATGGTCATCAAACCGGCTTTCCTCACCACGCTGATGCCCCTATTGGTGCATTCTTTCGACATGAGCAGGATGGCCAGCGATGGCAACACCCATATTTTGTTTCCGACACCGTCCACTCTCCGCCGAGCGGAGCTACTGGTGAGGAAGTACCTGTCCGCCATCAAGGATTTGATTCACTTACGACCAACAGCTTATTTTGGGAGCCATGGCCCAACCTTCCCCATAAATTCAACTGTAGTTGATTTCAACACTCCACCCTATCACCCCCCACTGTCCCGACACGAAATGCCTGGTAAATCTCAAGACTCTCGCCTCACCGTGACGCAACCTTGCTCAACGTTTAATTCGACAGCTTTTTTCGATGACCCGTATCTTACTTCAGAAGACAGTTCCAGCTCCCGTGGTTCGCAACATGGCTCTGTGCCCGTTTATCCTATCGGATTTGAAGACGAAGCGATAGCTACCCCACAGGTGCGCTCTGCCATTTTATCGCCGCATGATTGTAATTCATGTCAATGCAGATCATGTTTGATAACCTCCGAGTCGGACCCCCCATGAAAGCGAAAATAGGTTCAGATGTCCTCGTTTCGCTTACGACCCAACGAAGAACAAGGCCCGCACAGCACAAATGCGATTTGTGTCCGTCAGATTTCACGACCAAGTACAATCTTAGAAGTAACGTATCATTGCCATATCATCGGCGTTTCGGCTCACGACCTTCACGCAGACCATATGAAGTCGCATTACGCGATTCGAGATTACCGCTGTGAGGGCTGCCAGCAGACCTTTGGCATACGACATGTTTTCAAGCGGCATCAGCGGACGTGCAAACGTTGCGTCTGATCATGTATGTGAACTAGAAACATTATAGCTCGATAATTCCTTAATTAGTGGTACTATTTTATGTGTACGAATAATTGTGAATTCTCTCGATCCCTCCCTCATACCAGTTCCTTCCTGACACAATCGGGTTTCTGGTACCAACTTTCTTTTGAATAAATCGTTGTAAAGGCGGTCATAAATCTGACCGGTGGAATGACTCAGATGTTCGCTGACTTCAAAATTTGCCTCCGTCCACCCCCAACCTGCAGGCACCTGATTGGTTTCTTATCTCCGATTTGATAATCCAAATCGCTTTTAACCTGAACTATATTTTCGTTCACGATCTTGACCTATCTTGACCCTAAAGACGAATTCTAATCCTTGTAAATAGCCGTAGAGATAGCCGCACGCTGCACTTACGAAGTTCCACATATCGGTTCGGATCCAGTGGGAGTTCGATCGATTTTAACGTTTTTGTTCCACCCTCATTCTGCCTGCCAGGTTCGCAAGCCAACTTCTAAATTGTGATAATGGAAATCGTAATAAAGGATATTGGCCGCGTATAGACCCACGACGTCCGCCGTCAGATAAAGTCTCTCTGAGGCAATCGAAAGGAGGAACGAGAGCGAGATCATGACAAAAAGAGTAGAAAAATAACGTTCAAGCCTCCAAACGTGTTGTCCTCGATGTAAACCCAGTAATCAAGGAATATATAGAATCCGAGCACGGAATATAGAATCCGAGCGGAGATTCAGCGCCCACATTTTCAAATTGGGCGGAGCGCTCTTTGCAATGAGCGTCGATATCAATCTCTACGGCAGAGTCTCACACGGACGGTCCGACGTAGAAACGAGATGATAATTTGACAAAAAATTACGAAGGTTTAATTTTGGATACTACGATCTAAGTAATTCGCTATGATATTGAGAGATAAGTAATTTCTTGCGCAACGAGAGGGAAAAAATATACAAAGGGACTTTGAGATTCCAAAATTCACGCGGCAACAACGGAACATAGGTGGGGCTACTGAGGGAAGAATGACACGTTCTCGATAATGGAGTCCATCACACGTGCTTCTTCTGGTGTCGAACAAGGGAAGACTTGGTCGAAAAATCCTCATTGCAAAGATCGCAGTGATGGACTTTAATCCCGAAATGGGAGTTGTGGTGGTCTAAAATCGTACGATGTCATAGCGTACTCTTCAAGCACGAAACAAGACGTACTCTCGAGATTTCGTTGCGTGGTGAACTTCTGTGGACACAACGGACAGCTGAATCGTGAAGGTCGAATCCTCCGTTGCTCAGCGGCAGCAAGCTTCTTGGGCGTAGCCAGAGTAAGGCTGGGAGTGGGTGACATGGGCAACGTGAATGAGGGAGATATCAAAGTACTCGGCAACTGAGGGACCTCCAGAGAATGTGAGCTTCCCATTATTGAGTGGATGCCTGCACCATCGATCGTACGCGACAGTCAGCTGGTTCGGCGGTCAATAATAACACCTTACCTAGAGTGGCGAATGGTGTTGGTGCTGCTAGAGCTGGGAAAGTTAACGCGTATGCCAGGCTATTGTTAGACGACGAGCTCGGAGGATTGCCGTTATCGCGTGGGGTTGACGAATGCTTCTCTGAATACATAGTAGGATTTGCGAAAGAAGCTCAACCAAAGAGGGGTACGAGGGGTGAATGAGTCACGAAATCCCTTGTTTTATGGATGGCGACCAACATGAAGTTGTTGGGCTTGTTGTGTCAGTTAGTAAGCCAGGGTGAAGCAAAACTGGTGTTTGAAAACGTGTCAAAGTGATTGAATGCAACGATCAGGCGACGCTATTGATTACTCCTGAAAAGAGGTAAAATGTAAGTTTGGAAGCCTTGGTGACAGAGCATACCCCAGTATTTCTAACAAAATGATTAGCTATAGGTCTGACTTTCACGTACCAGCCTTGTTCACATTGCACTCGCGGCATGGTATTAAGAGCATTCCGCTGAAACCGGTGGCTGAAAAGAAGAGGTGGAAGGATTTCACCAGACCTTAGTGCACAACACCCCCAAATCTACTTCCCGTTGACCCTACCCCACCAAACCTCGTTTCCATGTTTCTCACCGATCAACCAACGAACACGTGTGAGCTTGCAAGGTGAGATAGGAAGGATCTTGAGTTTATATCACTGACCACAGTGACCAGCGCCGTGTAAGTAGCTTTTGGAGAGGAAGACAACTTGGTCCCTGACAGTTGCCTGACAGCATCAAGAGACCGAAATTGTACATTTGTTTGGTTTGGCTTTTAAAACCAAACTTCTTCCACCAAAGCCGCCAGAAGCCGCCCCGCTTGGACTGTTTGCGCCGGCGGTGATGGCGGGGTTGACAAGCTCATAAGATAACAAACTTTTTGAGGGCTCAAGCGCTCAAATTTCAAATTTCAAAGCTGGACTGTGAAGTGCTCCACAGATAATTTCATGTTCGCAAGGCTATACGCCGAGATCCCTTGACCGTGACCCCTCTAAGTTGAGCCTGAGTCGTGTCGGTAGAAAGTGGGATTCCTGAGAAGTCCGGAACAACGTATAGCTCTTTCAAGTTCAACCTTCATCGCGTGGCGCGGTTAATTATTGTATGCCGAGCCTTGGCCGAGCCAGCAAATTCCTTCCGCTCTCGGAAACTCGAAGCCACTGGCATGCGCTTCGAATTCATTTGTAGATGATAACCAAGTCCGCGGCAACTTGAAGGTCACTCATGAAAAAATAGGAAGTACTTAGTTCCGTCATGAAATTTATTGACCGCCTCGCGACGAAAACGTTTCTCAGGGAAGGGACAAGTAACGATATCGGACCTATCAGATCAACCTCCCTCTTGAACCAACAGTAAAGTCCACATATTTCACAACTAACAAAATCCTGTTTGAAATTCGCGTAAGATATGTGCAGTAGACGTTCTTCAAAATTTGATAGAATTTCAGCTATGGAGGCGGATATTTTATAGTCAAATGTAAGCTCAAAGACCTGGCCATGACAGCCCGACACTCTTTGATTGCAAAGGTTGATTATCACGGTTGGGGTTCATCATCGTACACAGACTCTATGCACTCAGACATTCTTCAGAATATGTACGAAACATGGCACAGCCTCCCCTCTCTTCTAGGTAGATATGTGGCGGACTGGGAATTTTATATATATCCATCAACGGGACTGCGGCGAAGGTCTTTTTAGAATGTCTGATCGTGTAAGATGTTCAACAGTTTAGTCGTTGAGTTCGCGAAAATTTACCTGGTTGGAAATGATCGACTCTTGCGTAAGAGATGTGAGAATTGTGACTTTCAAAGGACCTGGATAACAATATGATCAAATGCCGTAGCGATCCTTCAGCGCTTCAGCTTCATTTCCGATATGAAACAGACAATACTCACGTTAACGACAAATGGTCGCGGTAGATGAAAATCACCGGTCCCTTGATGTGTCAAGAGAACACGCGGGGTAGTTGGGGTGTTTAAAAATCCGATCTCTTGCACGCTTCTGCTCGGTCTCGACGAGGCCGTGTGGCGTGCGCTGTGAGCAAAAATATTTGAATAACACAGCGAGGGGTTAAAAATATCTTCAGGTACTTGAAAGACGTAGCAGAACTTTGGGGAGAAGCGACGAGCAATTGTGTGACGAACTTGGAAGCGAACCGGGCGCTTGATTATGATATTATCAATGAATCCGGCAGGTCCATCCCTGGCTCCAGTATTTTTGCCCAGTCTCATGGCAGGGGAAAAGGAAGAGAGAACTGGGTGATGTGCAAAGCGCGAGGTTGCAAAACAGGCTGCCAGGTGCGTGCGCCGTGAGATTTGTCAAATGTTTTCGCGTTTTATGTAGAAAAAAAATTCTGAAAACATAAGCATGGGAAAAACATACTTGATTAGGAAGGTAGGGGTAGGGGGGTGTCAAGCAGGACTCTGGAAAAAAAAATAACGAGTGTTGGTCTCTTTTCCACATTCCGCCACCCCCTTGCCATTCTCGGGCAGTCAATCGACAACATGTCTAAATCTGAGGTTTTTAATTTAATAATTTACCTCTCTGTCTCCCATTGCCTACACAACTCAGTAATAACCTAGCTTAGCTCGCATAAAGTCGGGCATGTTGGAATGAGCTTGCCTTACCTCTCCAGTTTTCCCCTTCCAGTCATGTCGCAGCAGCCAAAGGCTGAAAGACCCAACGACTTTAATACTATGCGACTCCCTCACGCTATGCAACCAGTCCCCAACCCAAACTTTCCGCTTCAGTGCCACGAAGCAAAAAATTTGCTATGGGTAGAATCAGGTGAGTCTTCATTTTTGAACTGTCACGAACCACATACCGAATGCGTGAAGATCCCGACGACTCTGAAACGCGGCTTATAGATCTTCTCGACCCCTTCGTTCATGGCGAAGACTGGTCAGTAGACAACAGCCATACGAGTTCACAGGGAAGTGCCGACAGTAAGCGAGGAGGCTCCATGGAGGCACACCTCCGTACAGCCCGGATAATGGCGCCCGACTCCCTGGTTCGTCTCTGCTACATCTACATCATTGATAGCCTTTACCCATAAATTTAAGGCGGAGCAATATCAAGTCAACGCACCGAAAAATCATTGCCCACTCATGATGGTAGCTCTTCATGATGTAGTTTTCCCTTCCACATACACCGCAGCTTTGCCGGTTTTGACTCTCCACAACCCTGCTGTCAATCAATTTGACAGTGCTCAAGACCTTATGGATAATTCAGATTTCATGAGTTTTCAAGTTGGTCTCGACGCTCCAGCGACATCATCGAGCAGTACATGTGATGTCAGAATGCAGGGCATGAGGTTCCTCGACTTTCTTGCTAGTCCTCAACCATGGGCTGGAAGTAGTGTTAGCAACGAGGCGAATACCTATCATGATCCGAACGATAGAACGGTGCGAGCC